CATTATGAAGCCAAGATAAAGAACAAGGGGACATGACCTTAAACTAACAGGAGGAAAGGTCAAAACTAAACTTAGCAGAGATAGTGGAGATAGTGTGTCAGTCAACAGTAAGTGGATTCAATATGCTTGATACAAACCTAGATCTATACTCAGAAAAAGAAATTACAAAATCACAAATACTGTATATATACACTGTATATATAAAAATGGGGCAGACTCGATTGACCACTTGTTTTTCTTCCTGCCATCACTCTTCTATGTTTTGAAAGGTCTGTACCTATGTATGGACCTGGGGCTGGGACGCGCTTTGCACATGCGATGTATTGATCACTATTTCAATGCTCTTCAATGCAAAAATGTAAAAAATAATTTTTAATGTTATTAATGTGGGCACATTTGTTATGTTTTTGCATTATATTATTATTATTATTATACAGGATTTATAGAGCGCCAACGGTTTGCTCAGCGCTTTCCATTATAATGGGAGACAATACAGTAACAATAGAGTTCAATACAAGAGGGGGGATTTGAGGGCCCTGCTCCTTGGAGCTTACAATCTAGGAGGGAGGGGTGAATGGTACAGTAGGTAATCACTGTTGGGGATGGAGTGGTTGGAAGAGTAGAGGATTCCAAAATTAGCAGAGGGCGGGATAGGCTTCCCTGAAGAGAGAGGTTTTCAGTGATCGCCGAAAGGCAAGTAGAGTAGGTGATAGTCTGATAGATTGGGGTAGGGAGTTCCAGAGGATGGGTGATGCCCTGGAGAAGTCTTGGAGATGAGCATGGGAGGAGGAAATAAGGGAGCTAGAGAGTAAGAGGTCTTGCGAGGAGCGGAGCATACGGTTTGTGTGATATTTACAGATAAGATCGGTTATGTAATTTGGGGCAGTGTTGTGGATGGCTTTATGTCATTGTTAAAGTTTTAAATTTTATCCGTTGGGCAACTGGGAGCCAGTGGAGGGATTGGCAGAGAGGGTGACGGATACAGAACGGTTAGTGAGGTGGATGAGTCTGGCAGCAACTATGAACTATATGAACTATATGAACTATGCCCCTAAGAAAATTATTTATTTCTTTGTGCAAATCAGGTGCACCTAGAAAGAAATACAGTGGCAACTGCCAGTGACATGACTTTGCTTTGACATGGTAATCAGCCTGGCAATCATATGGCTTTGTTAGGAAACAAAGCCAGGTGCTTTTTTCTAAGCATTTATTTAGGCTTGCGGAATATGTATCACTATCCTCTAGCTGCTGAGAAGTTCAAAGAAGGATAAATAAAATGTATGCATTCAATGAAAATGTTCCATTATTATTTCACAATTTATTTTACCTTTGTTTATACCTTTTTTGTTTTTAAGGCAACTACCAGTGCAACATAGTTCTGAATACCTTCACTTATACAGCAGTCTCGACTATACAAGTTAATACTCTGGATCTGACACCGATGAACTCAGTTGTTACCTGTAACAACACGAAGGTTGGAATAATTCAGTGCTGCACAAAAGGAGGAAATGTGACATTTAATCTCACCTGTCAGAAAACTAGTGGAAACATTGTTGGTAATTATTCCAAATTAAAAAAAAAAGAACACAGCTGTCTTTTTTTTTTTTTTTGAAGATGACTTCACTTTCCTGCATTCAGATGGTTCTATTTGATGTTACAATGAGGGAGAAGTGGTCTAAAGGCAAACAGGTTCTGCGATGCTGTCTGTTTAGAAAACCCATAGTTTTCTGTGAAACCTGTGTTGTGTGAGTGAACCCTGCCTAAAATGTTTATTTATAAACATCAAATAAGCAAAAAAAAAAACAGGAAAAAAATGGCTTAATGTGGTAGTAAAGCCACATTTTTAAAAATTGCTGACAGGCAAGATATTTATGACAGAAGAGATCTTGTCAGTCTCTTTGTCATAAAAGCTTCCTCCTGCCTGTCAGCCATCATGTGCAGTAGATCAGACATTTGGGGGCCCTCTGTACAATGAGTAACATCATTGTGACCATTGAAGCGGCTGAATACACAGAACCTGGAAGGAAGACCCGGCAAAGATGAAAATGCTTGGGACCCAATCACACCGCAGCGCTGGATGGCTTCTTTGGCAGGTAAGTCTGCTATAATGTGCTTGCATTCTGTGCATACTAGATAGCATTTACCTGCAGGGACCCCCTAAAAAGAAAAAATACTGTGGACTTTACTACCACTTTAAAGGCTGGTTCACACTGAAGCACTTTACTGTGCGATTCAGTGCGATGTGATTTTCAGCCCATTCATTTGAGTGGGATGAAATTGCACTGGATCGCACCAAAAGTAGTGCATGCACTTCTTTAACAAACGCAGTGCAATCGGATCCCACGGTACTTCTGTACCATTCAATCTAGTGCAGGCAAACACACTTTGTTTTCTAACTGCATCTGGGGTGTCATTAGGATTACATTGAAACCTGCAACAGATCGCAAGAGCGGTGCATTTTGAACACAGAAACGCACATAGAATAAAATACAAAGATGAGGATCTACCAGCAGCTGTTTAAAAGAAAATAAGCATCTTCAGCTGCTGTGTTCACCTTCTCACCAGCATTGTTCACTGCAGACTCATCTCACTGATCTAGTCCTGTCCTTCAAGATTATATGGTGCTCATCATCATTCACCATTCAAACACCTCTTGTCGTCGAGGGCATCATGGCATGTGCACCCCCCCAAATCCAGATCACAGTAGAATGCTGCACCATTTTCTGCAACATTTAGGACACCACCAGGGGCGGACTGACAACTCATGAGGCCCCCGGGCAATGGGGGATCATGGGGCCCTGTGTCCTTGCCCAAACTCAAAAAAGCCTATGAAAAAGGTGCCAGGGGCATCTCATGAGGCCTCCTACTGACCCCGGGCCCTCGGGGCAGTGCCCGAGTTTCCAAATGGTCAGTGATGTCACAGGACCAAAAAATACACAGAAAAAATGTTTAGGGCTACACTAATGATGGGTGGGGGGTAAACTGGGAGGGATGAGAGCTAGTAAGTAAAGGGATGGGCTTTAGAAGAGTAAAAACCTAAAAAAAAAAGATCCCAATTATTATTGTTTACCTTTTAAGGTGTCTTCTGATCTAATAACAGCCCCAGCTTATCCATGGATGGATGTACCTGTGTTATATGTATAATCTTGTTGGAAAAGCTGTAAATTGTGATTCAAGTAATCACCAGCTTTCTAATTTATATCTATTGCACGGTCTAATTGTCTATTTTACATTTTGGTCTCTATCACCTATTACCACATTTGCTGCAGTAAAGGGATACAACATTTTCCCATGTACTGTGCTATCTTCTCAAAGTCCATCTAAAGGCTCCTGTGTGACAGTCTAAACAAGTACCATTAATTATTAGTATTCATATTCTATTGGATCTGTTTCCTTTGTCCTAATGCAAGAATTAGGACAAACAGTTTTGCCAAGCATTACATTATGCTATTTCTTTATTACTTTTTATTTTTCTTTTTTTTGCTTTTTTTTCTAATATTACATGAGTTTCAGTATCTCTGCTTCTTTGTTTTATATCCATAGGAATCTCAGAATCCTCCTCAACGTGCCAATCTTACACCATTACGGCAGATCCTCAGTCGTGTGCCTCAACACAGACCTCTGGCTTCAGCTGTACCTGTACAACAAATAAAGGAGCTATTCTAACCCAGGACATTACAGTAAACTATATAGCCTCATGTACGTATTATGGGAAAAGACCAATACATTTGGCCATACACAGTCATCTTGGCTGGGGTTGGCCCTGCTGTTTAGACTGTTCACATATTTGACTGATGTTTGGTGCTGAATGCACAGATGGATGATATGGGGGGGATTTGATAACTACATACTATACGTTTATGTTGAACTATTAGAAGAGTCCCCTTAACTTTCTTCCCTAGAGACACAAGAGAACAATACTGCTTTCTGTGGACTGTGGTGAATGTGGTTCTTGAAGCATGTAAAGCAAACCTTTCAGGTTCAGGGCAAGACTGCAGGTTTGATTTAAAGTAGTTGTAAAGGCTGAGGGTTTTTACTTTCATGCAGGAGCCAAGGTCAATCACAACCAGTGAGGAGGCAGTGGCGACAAGGCCAAGTCCCATTCTGAGTGTCTTATGGGCACTTATGGGCTTGGGGGCGAGCAAGCATGAAAGGAGCCCAGAGCATTGGCAGGGGCCCTGAGAAGAGGACTGGGACTGCTCTGTGCAAAAACATTGCACAGAGCTGGTAAATATGACATGTTTGTTAAAAAAATTAAGCCTTTAGTATCACTTTAACCCCTTAACTCCAGCGCCTCCCAGCCGTGTAAGGAGTTTCTGATGTGGGAGGCAGGGCGGGGTTTATGATCATGTGACTGCTGTGATTGGCTGTCTTAGCGGTCACATGATCGAAAATCTCCCGATTGCTACTTTCCACTAGGCGCTGTGATGGGAGAATACAGGGTAGGCTCTCTCGACACTGGTTTGATTACATTTTGGTACGCATATATGCAGCCTCAAGGCCCACTCGCCTAGCAGTCGCATATATGTGTACTGTCAGTGTGAAGGATTTACATTTTTTCCTCCACTGAAGCACATACTGACCTTTCCTTCAATCTCCTACTGCTATGTTCAGCTGCCTGGAGCTAGGAAAGAGAGCTCTGTGTAAGCTCTGAGTTGCTCCAGTCAGGGCTGAGGGATGTGATAGTGTTAAGCAAGTCAAAAGGAGGTAAACTGCAGGTCACATGCACCTGTCAAAGAATTCTGAATGATCCCAGGAGTGTCTCAGACTGATGTCAAACAGGTGCCGCCAGCAGAAGCCTAAAGCCCTATGACACAGGCCCTAAAATAATTGAGCATAGCCTAGGGGGGCAAAGGCTTCATACTTACAGGTTCCATTACTTGAAATGCAAGGACTAGCATAGTGAGTATGCTGCATATATGACTGTTAAAACTCTGTTCTCTTTTACTGTCTGCTTAGATCAAGTTAACGTCACTGGAAGCACATATGATATTTCGGAATGGACTGACCTCACTTTAACGTGTAAATGTAGCATCACAAATGCAAAGAACATGACCTGGTATTTTATGGGTAATGACAACGTGCGCAGCAACATTAATACTAACGTGCGCATTGATACTACTCTGTCTACATGTAATTCTGTTCTGACAATCCCATCCACTAGCACGTCAGTGAACTGGAATGGTAAGTAGACTGATCTGGAAACACCAGAAATATTATTAGATTATTATTATTATACATGATTTATATAGCGCCAACAGTTTGTGCAGTGCTTTACAATAAAAAGGGAGACAGTACAATTGCAATGCAGTTGAATGCAGAAGAACTAGGGGGGCCCTGCTTGTGGAGCTTACAATCTAAAGGAAGGGGGAGGTGGTACAAAAGGTGATAGCTGCAGGGTATGTTCTGATGGAGGTGGCTCAAGTACAGTTCTTAGGTGGAGGTGGGGTAAGCTTCCTTGAATAAGTGAGTTTTCAAAGATCGCCTACAGGCAGACAGGGTGGGGGTGACCGGATATACTGGGGTACATTGCTGGTGGCCAGCTAACATTTACATTCTGCATCTAAAATCATAACAAAAAGCAGAGGTCTTAAATGTCTATGACAGCCACATATCGGTATCAACAGGCTTTATGTATTATGTGTCTGATAGTTTCCAATTCCTTCCTAGCAATCAACTTGCTCTTCTGAATCCTGTTACTAGGGGATATTAGAACATATAAGGGAGACATTGATTGGTTCATAGGAAGGAATGACAGTCTTCAGTCAGGCTTTATACATCCCTTAATAGTGGCAATGTGGTTCCCACTCTGAACTATGGTACCAAAACTAAGGCTATTGGAAACTGTTGAGGAAGGGCAGTGCCCAGCGCAGGTTCCTATATCTTCCTTTCTGCTACCTTCTGTAAACTACCAATTGCCCTGCCTCCCAAGTAATGGAGATGAAGAGATACTGATATGTTAGTACTCCATACCAGGAGTGCAGCCAAGGGTGACAACCATAGTTCCCTCCATAGATCAGTGGAGGAGTGATGTAACTACCCAGGGATGGGAAGTATGGTATTTGCAGGATTACCAGGTGTTAAGAAAGCAAAATAAACTTGAAAAAAGAAGACAAATGCAGCCACAGCACTAATTACGAGTAAGCAGTAATATATTACATTTTGGTTTTGGCTTTTGACACAGTTTAACAATTTGGGTTTTATGCATCTTTCTTTTCAGTGATGCTGTATGATTTATTGTGAATTTTCTGCATTAGCACCACAATATAATATTATCATGGTTCATGGCTAGGGACCATGAAGTAAGATGAGCACAGATAAAGGCAGACTGAACAATGGTTCATGGCTAGGGACCCTGAAAGATGAGCACAGATAAAGGCAGACTGGAACAGCCCATGGTTCATGGCTAGGGAGCCTGAAGTAGGATGAGCACAGATAAAGGCAGACTGGAACAGCCCATGGTTCACTGCTGGGGATGAAGTAGGATGAGCACAGATAAAGGCAGACTGGAACAGCCCATGGTTCACTGCTGGGGACCCTGAAGTAAGATGAGCACAGATAAAGGCAGACTGGAACAGCCCATGGTTCACGGCTAGGGACCCTGAAGTAGGATGAGCACAGATAAAGGCAGACTGGAACAGCCCATGGTTCACTGCTGGGGACCCTGAAGTAGGATGAGCACAGATAAAAGCAGACTGGAACAGCCCATGGTTCACTGCTGGGGACCATGAAGTAAGATGAGCACAGATAAAGGCAGACTGGAACAGCCTATGGTTCACTGCTGGGGACCATGAAGTAAGATGAGCACAGATAAAAGCAGACTGGAACAGCCCTTGGTTCACGGCTAGGGACCATGAAGTAGGATGAGCACAGATAAAGGCAGACTGGAACAATCCATGGTTCACTGCTGGGGACCATTAAGGATTATAAGCACAGATAAAGGCAGACTGGAACAGACATTTTGACAGCCTGAAATTGCCAATAATAGTGGCAAAAGAATGGTAACAGAGGGAGAGGGACAGGACGTGCCATATATACCCTGTGTACTATGAAGATACCTGCGGGCATATTTAGCAAGCACAAACAAAATACCTGCATTTTATATCTCTATTTACCTTACAGCTTTTGATATGTTTTCTGTCTTGCAGGAACTTTCATTTGTGTGGTTAATGACGCCTATTCAGGAAACCGGACAATTAATGTGTACAGAAGGGCCAAAAGTTCACAGATTACCAGATCCCCGATTAATACAGGATTCACATGCAACTCTTTTGTCAACTTTTCATGCTGTGTGGACAACATTAAAGCCTATCTATCATCCACCTTACAAATCGACAGTTCAGGAAGCAGCTCTACCATCCGTAATAGAAATTTTTAATTAACATATAATGCATTTTGACATTCATCATAAACATTAAAGTAATTTATATGAAAAATAAAATCACAAAGAAAGTACTGTAGGAATGAGGGCTACATGCATATTCGGTTTATGCGTAAAAAGCAGTTCCAAAATACCCTGTTTAAATTTGCTGACCTAGGGAGGGAAAGTGCTTGCATGTTCAGCCAAAACATTTTCTGTTAGTTTTGGACAGTGTGGAAGCTCTGCTGTCTGGTTTTTAATTCTATATGGGACTCCATTATAATTTTCACCTCTTAGGCAAAACTGTTGTCACCGGACAGTAAATGTAGAAAGTCTTTCCAATGGAGCCCCAGAGATCAATGAAAACCAACAGGGGTCCTAATCATTTCCCACTATTATCTAAAGATAAGACAAACAAAAAAAATATTGGCTTGAATTTAGATGTGATAGGAATTCTGAGGTGTTTCACTGGAGGGATCAGAGCGGAAACAAGGAGGTCCTGATTCGCCTATAAATATCTTTAGTTATCACTAGAGGGATCCCTGGTAGGAGGAAGGAGGTCCTGATTCCTCTCTATAGGTCATTAGCTTTTACTAGAGGCATCCCCGGCAGGAGGAAGGAGGTTCTGATCCTCCTAGATTTTTATATATCACTAGGAGGATCACCAGCATTAGGAAGGAGGTTCTGCTTCCTCTATGCAGTACATACATTCACCGGCCACTTTATTAGGTACACCTTACAAGTACTGAGTTGGACCCCTTTTTGCCTTCAGAACTACCTTAATTCTCCATGGCATAGATTCAACAAGGTCTTGGAAACATTCCTCAGAGATTTTGGTCCTTATTGATATGATAGAATCTCACAGTTGCTGCAGATTTGTCGGCAGCACGTCCATGATGCGAATCTCCTGTCCCACCAAATTCTAAAGGTGCTCTATTGGATTGAGATCTGGTGACTGTGGAGGTCATTGGAGTACATTGAACCCATTGTCATGTTCAAGAAACCAGTTTGAGATGATTTGAGCTTTGTGGCATGGTGCATTATCCTGCTGGAAGTAGCCATCAGAAGATGGGTACACTGTAGTCATAGAGGGATGGACATGATCAGCAACAATACTCAGGTAGGCTGTTGTGTTTAAACGATGCTCATTTGGTACTAAGGGGCCCAAAGTGTGCCAAGAAAATATCCTCCTTACCATTGCACCACCACCATGAGTTTAAACCGTTGATACAGGCAGAAAGGATTCATGCTTTCTTGTTTACTCCATATTCTGACCCTACCATCGGAATGTTTCAGCTGAAATCGAGACTCATCAGACCAGGCAAAGTTTTTCCAATCTTCTATTGTTCAATTTTGGTGAGCTTGTGTGAACTGTAGGCTCCGTTTCCTGTTTTTAACTGACAGAAGTGGCTCCCAGTGTGGTTTTCTGCTGCTGTAGCCCATCTGCATTCAGAGATGGTATTCTGTATACCTTGGTTATAACGAGTGGTTATTTGAGTTACTGTTGCCTTTCTATTGTCTCAAACCAGTCTGCCCATTCTCCTCTGACATCAACAATGAATTTTATTCCACACAACTGTCACTCACTGGATATTTTCCCTTTTTCGGACCATTCTTTATAAACCCTAGAGATAGTTGTGTGATACAAATCCCAGTTTTTGAAATACTCAAACCAGCCCATCTGGCACCCACAACCATGCCACGTTCAAAGTCACTTAAATCCCCTTTTCCCCCATTCTGATGCTCGATTTGAACTTCAGCAAGTTGTCTTCACCATGTCTAGATGCCTAAATGCATTGAGTTGCTGCCATGTGATTGGCTGATTAGCAATTTCTGTTACCAACCAACTGAACAGGTGTAAAAGTGGCCAGTGTGTGTAGATCTTTAGTAATCATTAGGGGGATCCCTGACAGGAGGAAGGAGTTCCTGATTGCCCTATATAGATCTTTAGTTGTCACAAGAGGAATGACCAGCATTAGGAAGGAGGTCCTGATTTCCCTATATATATTTTAAGTTAACAACATTAGCCCACATACAATCAAGATGAACAAAAGCAGACATACTTGAAGTCCAGTCTGGTGACAACCACAGCTTCCTCCATAGATCACAGATACATAGTCACCCAGGGACAGGGAGTGTGTTATTCATAGGATTACCAGGCGATGAGCCTTATTAAAATATATGTTAAAAAAAAGTAGGCAGAACTGCTTGAGAACAATTTTTTTATCCTCAAAAAAAATATTTTTTTTGCCCAGTGACTATTGTGTCAGTCCCAGCTGAGAAAAGCTTATTATACAGATCTTTAAATTGATCTCCCCTATATTTAAAGCTGAACTCCCAGTAAATATAAACAATACACAATAATGAAGCTCTATATTCATTAAAGGTCCATTCACACCAGAAACTGCATGTCTACTGTGTGTTTTATTATTGCACATTTGCATGCAATTGATGTGCCTTTTTTATGCACATCTACATGTAGCTGATTTTTTTCTACCCACATTTGTTCTGTGAGGTCACTTCCTTCTTCTTTTTTTCATTGAGCTTTTATGTGCACTGTGATGCGTTGCACTGTGTTCAAGCACATTTATATGCGTTTGTAAGTGTTTTTGTGCATTTGTGGTGCAAGAAAAATGCAGCATGCTGTACTTTTTTCACTGCACTGTAGTGGTGTGAACTATGCCTATAGGATAACCTGGGTTTTGGACTGTCTATGCTTTTAGAATGCAGTCACAAATGCATCTAACTGCATCCAACGGCTTCTGGTGTGAATGGGTCCTGGTACATTCTGAAATGTGTTTTGTTCTTATGAATGCCCGCAGTGTAAGTGCCTGAATTTGACTTGGCATCAGTCCCTGTCAGGGACGGACTGACCATTTGGAAACTCGGGCATTCCCCGAGGGCCCGGGGTCAGTAGGGGGCCCCATGAGATGCCCTGGTACCTTTTTCAAAGGATTTTTTTTAAGTTTGGGCAAGGACACAGGGGCCCCATGATCCCCTATTGCCCGGGGACCCCATGAATTGTCAGTCCACCCCTGGTCCCTGTACAGCAGAGCTCAGGAAAGGAGAGGAGGAAGCAGCACAGGGAGCCTATCAGTTGTGCAAGAAGCATGCTGATAGAAGGAGAAATCAAAGTGACAGAGAGATGAGCTGCTTCTCTTTTCACTGTCTAGTCACAGGATCTGGTAGAAGACCTGTTAGTGACAGTGAAACAGCAGCAGAGAAAGATCACAACCTCTCCCCTGCCAGGCAGGACTGTGCTTTTGGATAGTAAATCAGCTCTCTTAAATGTTTTATATTTATATATTTTGTGTATTTAGTTTTTTTGCCTGGAGTCCAGCCTTAATGCAGCCCTGTAGTCATAAAAGGGACTCATTTCTAAAAAAAAAAAAACAATTAAACAAAGAGATGTTCACAGAAGAATGCAGTTAGTACTTTTCTCTCCCATTGCCTATACTGCTGATTTCTTAAAAAGCTGAAACTGTTCCCGTCCCCATAACCATGTGCTGTAGTTCCTTCTGCTTGAGCCTATGTCATTAAAGAAACAATAGTGACATAGGGGTGGTGGATAGAACCACAGCACTCAGCAGGGGGATCGGGCATCTGATAAACCCAGAAGTATGTTAGATGCTGAAGAATCTTCGGCAGTGATGGGATGCAAAGATTGGGCAGCTGGAAAGCTAAACATTAAATATGTCCTTTACTAAATCATTGAATGCATATTTTTAAATGCAAACCGTTTAAAGACCTGAATTTGACTTGGTATCATCTACTTGCAGTTGTTGGATCCTTCTTAATAATGAATGTACATTGTCTGAGAGGTAAACAGGTATTAAGGTTGTTGCCATTGCCATAATAACATATATGTTGTAACTCTTCCTTCACAGCTATGACTCTTTCTGGAAGCTGTTTTACAGCTAAATATACTCTTTCTCAGCCCAACTGTGGATATTTGACAGCTTACTGCACCATTACCAATTTATTAAATGATACTGTGAGGAGTGATGACATGGTACTTAATTACATAGCAAGTAAGTTTTCTTATCTCTTTATTTTCAATTTTGAACTTAGCAAATTGTGCATGTTCTTTGATTGGTTCATTTGGAATGCTGTGTTTTAGTTAATGGTTCTATTCTAAAAACAATCATTGGATGAACGCCACACACATTCCTGGCATGTTCAATGAATATCGGGCATAATTTCTCTAATAGATTAATTCCTTTGATCATTAGCTCTCTCTAGTGGCCAAAATGCAGTATATTTTTTCATTGAGGTATTTCATAAAACTATACCATGTTGTGGTCATTAGATGCTGCTGATAATATAGGAATTAATCTACTAGAAAAATTACAGCCAAAATAGGTTGAGCATGCATGAATGTGCAGGACAGTCTTCTAAGCAGGGGTGTATTTACCACAAGGCAAACAAGGCATTTGCCTAGGGCGGCATTTTTCAGGGGGGCAGCAGCTTTTTTCAGGGGGGCAGTGTTGTCCCCTGAAAGAAGGAAAGGAAGAAGGGACACACGCATCACGGGGATCCTGAGAGAGGCTGATGGCTGTTAATGGTGTATGCAAAGCCTGACTCTTGTTCCAGGGGATGTTTGGAGCTGTGAAGGTGAGTGTCTTCACATGCCGAATTCACATTACTAGGTGTCATGGTGCTAAATGGATGTCACAAGCATATCTGATGTCCTCACACATAATAAGTTACAATGGTCATCTGACTGTAACATATTAGCTCCAGTGACCATGTTAGCACATTTCACCAAAGAAGCCACGGTGCGTGGTGTTATAGTAACTTTCTCCATACTGCTGAAGCCCAGGAAAGTATTAGGCTGGGACAGGGCAGCTTTAACTCCCAGAGCAGTACTAATGCAATGTTCTAGGCTGTGGCTCTGAGCAGAACAAGTGGTTAGTGACATATATTGGGCATTATAATTG